TATTTCCAGATCGCAGGACGATATCCGTAACCAACCGGGACGGACTCATAGTTTCATGAGCCTGATCGAGGCGCGAAAGCTAGTTCCGGAAATCGACGGGAGCTCGCGAGATCGCGTTCACGAATTTTTGGAAGCCGCTTCCTACGCGGTGAAAAACATTCATCCGTCAGACGAAAATTCGTTTTTGGAAGCCCTGATTTGTACAAAACTGAAGGGAAAAGCACGTAAAGATTTCCGCACGCGCAGCATTCGCAATTTCGTTCAATTCAAGGGCGAAATGGAAACCAAGTATTTGTGCCAGTGAAGCATTACCAATTTGCAAAGAGAGTTTAACTCAATCAAGCAAAAGTCGGGAGAAAGAGCAAAGGATTTCGGGCGCAGAGTGGAGGACTTCGCCATAGATCTCTTCGAGAGCATCGAAGAAGGGAAAAACCACACTCTCGAGCAACAACATGTTATTTACGAGCATACACAGACATTAGCATTGCAAAACTTCCAAATTGGATTACGGGAAGATATTCAGGTGCTGGTACGCTCACAGCGCTTCCGTACTTTGGTGGAAGCAATAGACGGGGCAAGCGCCGAAGAGAAAGCACTGGCCGAGGTCTCTACAAGGCCTATGAAAACATAAAATTTAAGTTCCGAAGGGACAGACCGCAGTGCACAAAATGCGGAAGGCAAGGGCATACCGGAGATGAATGCCGTACTAAGGGATATGGCCAGCAATTTTTCTTGCCGAAACCAGATAAAAAACCAGTCGGAGTAAATACCGTAGAGAAATATTGCATACATTGCAAGAAACCAAGGCATTTACAGCAAAAATGCTGGTCGCTGCAAAAACGCACGGGGGCGACGCGTACGCGACCTGAAAAAATTGAGACCAAAAAGAAGTCGCAGGTACATACAGCTACCAAGACGAACAAGGTAGCAGAAGATGCCGAAGATTCGTTTTCCAGCAGTGAAGACGAGGGAGTCTCAAATGAGAAAACGACGCAAGCTGCGCGTGAATATCGAGTTACGCAGGTGATAG